AGTATCTACAAGTTGTCTTTGTGTTCGCTGGAGCAACAGCATGTGTGTGTCTTGTCTGTCGCCTGCCTCGCCGCCTGCCACCCCGCCAGCAATTTGTGCTGCTTTTGTTGCAATGTCAAGAAACTTTTTGTGACTCCCTCGGCCCGACACAACCCCCACGCAGCCGGCAAACAGTTAAGTTGTTTTGCCATTTTATGGGCTGCAGCATTTAAGGATCAAGGCATTCAGAATTTATGGCCCCAAACGCATTTGGTGGTGCGAAACCATCCGTATCCTAAGCCCAAGATTGCCCCGAAAACTATTCAAAACTTTCGGTCGGCATTCGTTTAGTTCATCCTCGAATCTATCTCTGGTTTCATCGGTCCTTTGTGGGTGCGTGGGGCAATTATACATGGGGCAAAACTTTGCAGACACTTGAGAACTCCCGAGCGGGCACACAGGTCAATGCAGCTCAATTAAATGGCATGTCCAGAGGCCTTTGTATAGAACCAATTGACTCTCAAGTGAAGGGGTGCCATGCCCCCCGGGGTTCTCAGCGTTCTCGGTGGGGTTTGGGGTGGAAAAAATAACTTTGGCGCCGACACTTGAGTAACATACAGAGCATTCCGAACCCCCTTTGGATGAGGGACTCTCATTAGACTTGATTTCTATGCGTTTAATGGGAAATTTCAATCAGACGCTGGCCGGAGCTCTCTTTTGCGTGAAGTATCTTCAAGTGGCGGGGCCATGTGGACCGGATAGATACTACTTCAATAGAAATGCTGGCTACTGCATTCGTATGCAGTAAAATTTTTGTTTGCACATCCCAACCCAGCCCCCGATCCACCCCGCTCTGGGCCGACTTCTCACAGCCGTATCTTATCGGCTTATCTGGCATACCAATGCGAGCAGACAGACGACCGATTGTTGCCGGTTGTGCAAGCCTTAAAGCCATAGAGATACTTGAATTGAACTTATTGTAATTAATACGAGTGCGCCCCGCTGCTGCCGCAAGTATTTTCAATGCCAAGCGCAGATAGATAGATACAAATGTATCTCAGGCAGCAGAATGGGCGGACAGCTTCGGAGAATTTCAGCATGCCTTCTGCGGTTTATCAATGCAAAAGATAGTCGGTGCGAAGCCCCAGAAAAGCTGCTGCTGCCATGTGTGGCATGTGTGTGTGTTTGTGTGTGTGTGGAAAGCCACCCGGAAATGGAAGCGCACTAATGCGTTCTCTTGGCATGCCCGCACTCAGCCTCGGGCAGGGTGGGCGTGTGCGTGTGCAACGCATTTGACAAGCCAGAAGATACAAGATACATTAAAACCAATTCCACATCCATTAGGCAGAGTGCGGGCGTAGCGCGGGGCGTTCTCGGGCGCCCTTAAGTGGTGTCAATTAATAACCAGAGTCGCAGTTAGTCAAAATGTTTTCTCCAACATTTTTGGGATGACACTCTGCTGGATAAACGATGGACATAAACTGGGATGAACTGTTTTCCACCCAAAAGTTAGCAGTTTATGCCTGGAAGGATATTGATTTTGAAATTGGGTATGTAAAAAGCCGCAAACTCTAATTTCGTCATAGTTTTTTAATGGTTTATAGAACTAGTTTTATTGGTCGATTGATAGCGAACATTGTAATCTTTATAAGTAGTCGTAAAGTCAAGTACTTAAGGAAATGAAAAACTTGTTAGGTTTTGCCTATCGATACAGACTATCAGTACATTTTCGTAATTTTCTTAAGCAGACGAAAGCAAACACTAAATTGGTTTTTAAGTTGACCGGAAATTGTTCGATTGATTATAGGGGGGAGTAAAGGGGTACTATAATACTAGTGGAATAGTAATAAGAACACTCCCCAAATGACTATAGATTTAATATAGAGTTATGGTCTTCTATTGGCTAAAATCTGTGTACTTTAAGCCTCTTTTTAAACTGATAAACTTTGAAAATAGAGCTGGTATTTCCACTGTTTATTGAAGCAATAAATTTCCACGATAATTATACAATCACTATCCCATAAACATAATATTCTCCTAGAAATGTACTAATTAGAGCTTCCCCTAGCTATATCGCTAGCATCATCTAAACAAAGCCAATCAATTTTTCTTCTTTTGCTTGATTCCCAGCCCCAGACAAGTGGATTGTCTGCGGAGTGCTCCCAATAATCCAATGCCAATCCATCAGCAACAAATAGCAGCAATTCCAATCCATCAACACCATATATTGTAGTAGTAGAACCGATGCCACTCCAGCTGCACTGCACACACACACACACAGCAAACAGCACACAGATACTCCCGCAGACGGACACGTGCATGTTCTAACCGACTCGGCGACCCATTTCCAGACACTTATTAAATCAACAGCACAGCATCAGCAACAGCAACAGCAACAATTCCTCGATGGTTCTCCTTTGGTCTCTCGCTCTTTCGGACAATAACTCAAGCGATATTGCTGCTCTGTTCGAACAGACCATTGCGCAAATATTACAAAGTCAAAGTCCAATAAAGAAAGAAAAGAACTGGTACCGCCTGGAGGGGTAGAGGGGCTGAGGGGTTGGGAGAGGGCATGGCCAAGAGTTGTGGCTGTGTTGACTGCTCCAACTTATTCAAGCCGGAGCCAAAGGCGAGCTCGACTCATCTTCCACTTGGAGTCTTTTATCGAGAGTTTTGTTGTGCTTTTTATGCTCTTCAAAAGAGGGTACTATAGTTTTGTGACTTTAGTTTGTCAAAAGAGGAGGTCAAAGGACTCGAAAAGCCATGTTTCATAACCATTACCAGATTTACTGATAGTTTTTCTGTATTATAGAGCTTCCCAGATTGACATTGGTCATTCTTTAAGGCAAAGAACCAAATATAATAGGAATCTACGAACCATAGCCACATCTTGATCAACATTGTAGTAGTACGAAAAATGTAGGACCATTTTTCGCTTAAAAAATTGTACAAAATAGTGCACTAAAGTCACGCATATAAAAATTAGCCCAGCCTATAGAAAATTGATTAGTTTATCGGATAAAACTAGTCTTTTTTTGAACATCGCGATGGAAAAGATCTTCAAACAGCAGTAAGCTCAAAAGTTACACTTCAGACCGGCACAGTCTATTATATATGAAGTCATATAACCTACAGCTAGTAGAGTCTTAAAAGTAGACTGTATTTACCAAAGAAACCATTGTTTCCTGAGGGTATCAATTGCTTCGGTTCCTTGGTTACCCTTTCATTCTCGTTTGCTGCTGCTGATTCTGCTGCTGTCTGCTTAGTAATTTTTATAGCTATTTCACTAAATTGTTGTCAATTGACTGGAGCTTGGCGCAAGTTTGGAGCATGTGTTGTTGCCAGTGGCATTTTGCTTCCTTTTGCTGCTTTGCTTTTTATTCGATTACATATTATGGACGATGAAGTGGAAAGAGCAGCCAGCGCACCAAGCCATGCCACTCCATTGTGGCAAAGAAATAGTCGTAACTGGAACAAGTTTGTTGAGCATTTCATCAGATCCATTAAACTTTGAACCGGCCATAGACGCCATAAACAAATTCGTACGAGGAGAGAAGAAATCTTCGAGGAACTGCCGAAATTTTGATTGGCATTCTGGGCATTTCGTTTTTGGCAAAAGCTGCGGCGCAAATATCTTTTTGTTGTTTGCAGCGGCAGAAAACAAGCAAATAATAGATAGATGGCCACCTAGATACAGATAAAGATACATATACTGATAAATAAATAAATAATACTAGAGTATAGAGAGCCGTAGAGCCGTGGAGCCGTAGAGCAATGCAGCGGCCAGCAAGACTTTTGTTTAGATTTGACAAAGGCCGCAGGAAGATATAAAACAGTGGCCGGGCCAGAATTCTATGCCAGAATCACAACAACACAACAATTTTTATTGGGTCATTGGCGGGGCCATATTGGCAGCGGCTGTTCGCTGTTCCCTGGCCGCTGCTGTTGCCACATCGGCTACAGATCTGTTTTCTGTTTGCAACATGCCGCATGGCCACCTTTTTGGCGACTTCTTTGTTGGCTGTCAAATGCTAATTTCGCTGTCAGCAGCCAGCATCCGTGAATACAGGAGGACTGATGTATAGACCAATTTGTTGACCCTTCTTCACGCTTGTGTTGCTCTCGATTCTCGGCTGTTGTTGTTCTAATGCCGTGCCCCATGGGTTAATAAACTTGTTGCCCCACACAACACGGCACGACACGACTCATAAATAAACACTTCTATTGATTTAGTACGCGGTGTTTTCGGGGCTCTCTAACAAAGGCGTTTGTGGTGTGTGTCTCGTTCTGCTTTTCGCGAGTGGAGTGGAGTGTTTACAAGCCCCTTAAACCGTAAACCGTAAGCCGTAAACCGTAAGCCGTAAGCCGCTTAAATACGCGTATTCCCCAAGAGTTTCGTTTCTTCTTTTCCGCAGCCAAAGCATAATAATAATATTATTTATTTTGATTATACAAATACTTAATATACGACATAAGAACATCGAACAATAGGCCAGTAGAAGACAAACAACAAAAGCCAGCTGTGGGCGAGAGTCCCATAGGTTCATGGATCCATTCCGAGCCCCAAGCCCCAAACACCAAACTCTCATAATCATTATTGCTATTGTTTGTTATTGCTGTTCTGTTGTTGACTCTTCAATGGTAATCATAAATTAATTTCTACACTCGCAGAAATCTGATTGTTTGCAAGAAGATTATTACTTTATCTGCAAGGTATTTCCAAGGTGCTCATGAATAAACATCCAAGCTTCAATGGTTTAAAGACCTATCTGTCATTGAGAAACGATCTTTCATCTTTCATGATAATCATGTAAAAGTTTCATAATCCACAGATACACTACTCTTATTCAACATTCTTTAGCGCCTCCAAAGATACAGAATTACTATCAAACATTTTTTCCCCCAGTGCACACAGGGCTTTAATGAGTTATTTGCACTGCGATTGGGGTGCGTCTTAAAATTGTTTTTGGGTTTGGGTTCGGGCATTACGGGCTATTTGAGGTGTTGGCCCGGACACTCACATGATTGAGGCGTGCCGCAATTTTGGCGTGCTCCTCCTGGTAGGCCTTGCGCGCCTTCCGCTTGTCCTGCGAGAGATGTGTCAGCTTGTCGCAGACCACTTCCAGCTGCTCGGCATTCGACTTGAACTGTTTGGCCTGTTGGTCCAGCTCATCCATGTAGGATCGCCAGGACTTTGTGATGAGGCTGCCTGCAAGACGAAAAACAAACGATCATTAGCTAAGAAAGAGAAAGCTGATACAAAGGGGGGGGTAAAAATGTAATTAGGCATTTGATTTCGATACCCAACAGGTTGTGATGTTGGATGATGGGTATCCGGTGGCATTGCATTTTCGAAAATCCAAAGACGCAATAGACTGATAAACAATCGGACCGTTTTAATGACCGCAAAACCCGAGACAAATCCACAAATTGCATACGGCTGTGAGTCATGTCTCCACTCGAATTGTCTCCACTTACCAGTTGGGGAAAAGTTCAGCCAATGATTCAGCCTCGCTTCAGCTCAGATTTTCGGTTGATTCCACCATAAACTAGCTGCCAAACAAAACGGAAACGGAATAGTTGGCCAAAATCTTTTTCGGTTCGTTGAGTTTCATTCGAAACTCAGTTTCGTTGCAGTCAGAGCAGTGGAACAGTGGAGCAGAGCTGCTTGCTCCCAACCCCAAGTTCATGGTCAAGGTGAGACGAGAGGCAAATCAGAGAAGTCAGCAGAGAATAAAATACGAGGCAGCTGCTGCAGTCTACGTCTGTGTCTGTGTCTGTCTCTGGCTGTATCTGTGAAACTATCAAATGGTCCGAACTAAATCATTCGCTATGGAAGCATTGAGTGCGTGTGAGTGTGCGTGTGCGTGTGCTTGTGCGCTCCCAACCAGCGGATACGTTTGTTTGGCAATGTAAACAGCAAACAGAAACATTTCCCAGGCCCCAAAACTGACACTGACTGGAAATTATAGCAATTACACTCGTAGTCCGCATCTGGAAGGGTGTGTGCTGCTCTGGGCACTGGGGCGGACAGCTGCACTTTGTCGACACTTTGATGAGCTTAGTGCAGTGCAGTGCAAGTATCTTGGAGATACACAGAACGTTTTGCCAGTTTTCCAGAAATTACCCACATGAGGTGGAGCCGAGTCCTGTCCGTGGCTGATGATGCCACACAGAGCACAGAGCACGGAGCACGGAGCACGGTAGTTGAAAACAATTTGCTTGTCTGGTGATTATCTCAAATCGCTTGAAATAAAACCTTACGCGTATTACTCACTGGGAAACGCGATCAAGTCACGCGATTGGCTTCACTCCGGAAGCTTCCCTTTTGGCCGGTGGCGGAGGCTGCCAAAATTCACACTAAAACCGAAGCACAAACAACAATAGGAAGGAGACTAGATTTTGGCAAGAGGCTCAGGATATAAACTATATGTAAGATATATGGCTGAACAGATGCTTCCTTTCCCAACTTAATGGCATGCGAGCTTTAATAACTCTCTCTCTCTCTCTCTCTCTCTGCCTCTCCCTCCCTCCCTGGGCTGTGACTACTTATTTCTGGTTTGTGGCGATTGTCCATTTGGCGTCACTCGGCTGGGTACAAGGGACAAGGGACATTGACTGGACAGTTTATCGACAACAACAGACGCAACCCTTGCAACGGGCGTAATGCTCTGACTAATGGATGATAGCTGGTGGTTCCTATAACCGAGGAAACCTCGAAACAATTCTCTGAGTAATGTATATGTCAACAGTTGCAACATAAGCCTCAAAAGAAACACTCTCTCTCGAGCATATCCGAAAGATTCATTCACTTGTTTGAACTACATATATTTCCAGATTTCGAACAGATGTTAACAATTTTCAACAACTGTATTTTCTGGCAATGCATATTTCTGCTTTGATTTCAAAATTTTAACAGTTTTTATCAGTCTGGGGGAGCTTCTACAGCTCGAATTTTTTGCCTATCATAAATTGATTAGGACTTGTATTCTACAGTTATCATAGCTGGTGTTCAATCAATGCCCCATAAAGTCTGTTTGGCGAGCTCAAAACAAAAGAAAACAAAACAAAAACACTTATCTTTAGGCAGGTTGGTCTACTGCAATCAGAGGAATGTTCTTTTCTTGGAATTGCACTTGCAAAATATCCGTAGTATCGTTGACCAAACAATTGGCGGCTGTCTGGGGTATGGTATCTTATCTGCCAAAGACTGTCCGCTATTCGGAATGGGATGTGGAGATGGGGATGGGGATGGCGATGGCGATGGCGCTGGGAATGGGGATGTTTTGGTCTTGTATTTACCTTGCATTTCGTCAGCCCGATCGATTTTCAGACCCTGTTGGGCCACAGCTGTCAAACTGATTGCGTATTCCTTGTCGCATTTGGCCTTCAACTGGATGGATCTCTTCATGGTCTCCATGAGACGCAGCTCGGCATCCTGCCGCACGATGAGCGCCTCGTGTGCGGCCCGACTTTGCAGGGCCGATGAGAAGCCCATTTTGATGGAGTTCTATATGTTCTCTCGATGTGCACTATTTTTCGCTATGGCTCTCTCAGATATAGGAATACCATTCGGATGATTCAGTTTTTGTGATTATCGGGGGGCGCTAGATGGAGGTGGGGGTAAAGAACTTCACTTTTTGAGTAAATTGCACAATCAGAACACCAGAAAAAACACTGAGGGAAAACCGAATCGGCGGCCGCGGACATATGGCAAACACTTGTTGCATGCCAATAAATATATTTTATGGGGGAGTTCACGGGTGGGTTATTTTTCACGCCCGTTTTGACACTTTTCTGTCTCCCCTTGTTAAAGAGGCCCCACTGAAATTAATTACTTATGCCGCACACACACACACTCCTACTTATATTTCGTATTAACTTTTTTTGGTTGCTCTGAAATGCAGCCAAAAAAAAATAAACTTTCACATGTTTCGTATTTCTTTATGCAGATATCTCTCTCTCTGTGGCTGGCGACATTTGCTAATTACACACCGATCCGTCCGGCTTTTGATTAACGACTTTATTCGAGTCACTGGCAGATACTTTTTTATCCGCTAATTAACGCATTTTCCGCATGTCTTTCTTCGCCTCAACTCCCAACTTGAGTGTAAAATATATATGAATTCATTTTGTGGTATTTTGAATGCAACAGTTGTCTTCACTTGAACTTTTCACAAAGTATTTTCCAAGACCTAAGCTGCGGCGCAGTTGTGGCTGCTGCTGCTGCTGCTGTGTGCTGTGTTGAGGTTGTTTTTTTTTTCTTTTTCAAAGAGGAAAACTTGTTTTTCCCGCTTGCTGTGGGGATAGCAAACAAAAATAAACATTGCCCCAAGAGCCGCCGCGCAAGAGGAGAGCAGCAGCAGCAGGAGGAGGAGGAGGAGGAGGAGAAGCCAGCCCAGTCGTCAGTCAATAAGGAAACACTGAGGGGCACAAGGTGTGTGCGGCAAGTACGTGTATCTTACAGATACATGGATGCGCCAGAACAACAACTTGATGCATTGTTTGTATGTGCGTGCCCCTCCACTCCACTCCACTCCACTACTCCACTCCACTCCCCATATCGGAGTTGGCCAAGTCGGGTAAAACATAAACGGGTTAGGCAGCACCAACAACAACAACAACCACTAACTGGGGGATCTTCTTCGAGAACCAGAACAGGAACCGCACCGCACAACCACACCGTTATATAAATTAAAAATGTAAAACAAAAAAACTTTACTGCTCCGCTATAAGCAATAACGAAATAAATCTCCAAACCCCCGATCTGATAAGGCGATCTGCATTTGTTTATGGTTTATGGAGGGGAAACGGGAAAACGGGGAGCACTTTTACCGCAGAATCTCTCTTTTCTCTTTGGACTCTTTGGACTGCGGCAGTCACTGCAATTTGCGTAATCAGAGCAAGGTTTTAAACACAATCACGATTTTATATATAGATCGTTATCGTATTAAAGGCTTTATCAAATGTTGACGCCAGCGACGACGATTTCAAATTTCCTATCAGAGATCTGTAACTTCACCAGGGGAAAAGTCACTGGAAACCGGAAGGAAGCGATTGCCCTAGTCATGTTGAATATTCATTGTACACTATTTTTGTAGGTGATATTTGTTTTTGGCATAATTATTTGGGATATAAGTATCAACGGAACTGCTAAATTCGCTTAAAAGCGCCAACCGTCGGGTTTTTGTTGTCTTGCGTGCCGCGGCCAAGATATTTACTTTTATTGATAAAACTATCAAATATTGATATTTATATATTTTTTTTGATAATATTATTGCTTAGTGATATCAACGGACTTTTCTGAATTCAGAAAAAAATTCGACACTATTTTTCTGTTGTTTCCTCCGGGGCCGACATGTTCAAAACTCACGAGATTTTTTTCTGTTTCGGGGCGCAAAGGCCGTTCTTTCAATTCGACCATTTTAAAATGTTGCTGGGGACCTAAAAGTGTTGCTGCGGACCTAAAAATGTTGCCCGGCATCATGTTGACAAAATATGTTCGATAGAATTTTTCGATAGGATGTATCGCTTTATAATATCGATGTATTAAATAGTTTGAATATTTCATCCGCACTTTTCAGAACTAGAATTCCCAAGGCAATTAGCCACATGGTCATTTTGGGCTGATCAAATAGCCGAAGAGAGAGGCATACGTGACAACTTAATAATCTCTATATATAATACTTGCCGCCGTGAGCTCAGTTCATTTGAAAGCCCGCGGGCTCATGAACACATACGATATATGTGTATATCTGTTTGATTATCATCGCCACATACTTTTAAATGTTCGATAATGTTGCTAGTATCTACAGCTACATGCAAAGGCCTCGTCAACATGCTGCAAGTGAAATGAAAATAATACGAGAGGTATGGACGTTTACATACCCTATTCATTACTAAAAATTTAAATGTATATTTTTTAAAATAGTTTATGGAATATGTCGCTTTGTTGTTTATACATTTGCATTTATTAGAATTTTGTAACGTCACAATTTGAAGAGATCGGCATTCATTCATTCACAGAGGAAATTCAGGGCCATGCGCGTATAGTCCACTGTCGCAGATATGGCTGTTATGATCACGCGATACCGATCAAAGCACATGTTCACGTAGAGCTTATACTTGTTGTTGGTCACTTCAAAATTCCAAAGATATACCAAAGAACCGAGGAGATCCCAGTTCTCACCAAAGTGGAACCAAGAGTGCTGCTCGCTCACGTACTGGAAGATGCCATAGTAGACGAGCACGACAAATAGTGGAAAAAGGATCGGCAGAAGAATGACGAAAACGAGGACGCAGGTATATACGACCTTCAGCATTGTGGGGAAGGGAACCAACCAAGGCTGCAGCCAGAAATCCTGCAGATGATCCACCAAAGGCTGCATATAGTACACCAGGCGACCCAGCATCGAGGTCTTCTTCCATATTTTACGCTTGTGCAGCGGCATTCTCCAGGTCTTTTGCATGTTTCCAAATACTTTCGAACGAGCAATTTTTCAAACTTATCTCCTAGGTTGACAAATTTTGAACAGATAGAACAGATGTAGTTTCAGTTTTGTCCAATAAATACGAGTCTACGAATCTACTAATCTAATCTTCGGTTATATACCCTTGAAGTGTATAACCAATGTGAAAATTTCGTTTAAATAGATACCGTTTCTCCTATGACATCTGTTGTTCTTGCAAGAAACGAAAAGTCATTCTCGGGGAAGTCCAAAACGAGTTGCATTCAAAGGGGATTTGACAGGGATCTCAAATGTTTGCTGACTTTTACTTTTTGCCAGTTCCATTATTCTCTCCCCTGTGTATCCCTCTCTCTTCCTCTCTATTGTAATCCTAGAATTACCAAAATTGCCTTTCCGCACTATTAATTACCAAGGTTCGGCACTTTGGTTTTCGACAGCTGCCAGGATCCATTACCATCGCTACCACCCACCCATCAAACAGGAGACAAACACCCGCCCGGACAACAAAGGCAGCTGAAATGTAACCAAAACAAAAAGCTACGAGTATGATAAATGTTATGCGTAGATCTACCCCTTAGCCAATGGCACCCCCCACAAACTCAGCCATTTCCATGCCACCATTCGATTCCGACCCCGTTCGAATCCTGCCAGGGCCAGTGCCAGGATAAATGTGGAAATGCATTTGCCCATCAAATGCAGTCGGGCCAATAAATTCATTAATAAATGGAAAAGTGAAAAGCGCAGCAACTTTACGTTTCCTCTCCTGCTCCTTGCGTCCTTTGTTATCCTTGTGGTCTGGGTGGTGCTGGGTGCTGGGAGCTGGGTCCTGCGTCCTGGATCCTGGATCCTGGGCTGCGCATAATGCCAGCACTGTTTGTTCTGCAATGTCAGGCGCCTCCTCTTGCTTTAGTGTACAGTCCATTCCACTCCCCGATACCCATCTACCCATCCCACTACTTGAATAATGGATATTGAAATCGCATCGAGTCAAAGAGGGGTGTGAGAAATTGTACTTTATACCGATTAATGCTGCCGTGTTGGAGGACAAAACCCCTGACCATTGATTTGATTGCCGGGCAAATGGTCCTTTTCCTCTGCCGAGGCAGGTCCTGCTGCTGCCAGACATCTCCCCGTCCCAGTCCCAGTCCCGGTCCACTGCCATTCCTGTCCACCGCCAGCCTGTTGCCCACGTCTGACTCTGACACTCCTTTGTTCTGCCCAGTCATTCATCTCGGATGCTCTTGTTTGCATTCTGTGTTTTCTTTTGGGTTTTAGGGTGTTTGCCGTTGTCTATTGTGTGCACCGGCGTCCGGCAAACGGGACTGGGAGCTGTAAACCGGGACTGCTGAGTTTATTTTAGTTGGAGCCAGACGATAAAAAAAAAATCAAGGCGCCTCAGCCTCATAAAGTATTTAGTGCGACAGAGATACCGGGATGCCGCACACCCGGCACCATTTCCCAGACCCTATCCAAGGATGACAATATTCCAATTTTATTTGCGGATATCCCATAGAAATAAACAGGAATGGAACTTAACAGCCGCCTGGCACTTGCGGGTAATTGGGCCAACTATAAGTAGAAGAGCGTCCCAAATATCTGCATCTAATTTAAGAACACGAGAGGAATACTCGAAAGTGACGCATCTTCGCCAGACATAAATCTCCCGAAATGAGCCGTAAATGTTTGGGGTGCCCGCTGGTTGAGTGAGTTCTTCGGAACGCACTCACAATGTTGCAATTTCAGTTTCAATTTCAATACTCTCGATATATAGAGAGCTCCCCTCCCCGGCTGGCATCGGTTGCGGATGGAGACCAACATTTTGTTGTCAATTGAAACTAATGAATAAATTACCCATGCAGTGTAAGACAGTGGAAAATTGATGAGAGAAGTTCAAACTGGGGGCTGAACCCATGGTTCTGGTGTGTGACCGAGTGGTTCGGTTCGGTTCGGTAATGGGAACTCGACAAACAATAGATGACCGACTTGAAAGTTGTGCAATAGAGTGACAGCAGTAAAGTGACTCGTTCGGAGGGGCGAGTATTAAGTAAGAGAATCAAAACAAAACCATTATAAAGTGACTGAGAAATCCCTTTGAGAGATAGCCTGCCCAAGTATATATAAGATAAAGTATATATGAGAAAACTACGTACCTATATGACATACCCAACACCTAGCAGTGTTCCCCCAGACGAGAGGCAACCAATTCCTGGGCTGCTTAGCATTCCACTCAGATACTAGTAGGCGGAATGGGTCGGGGACCGGGAGGGCAGCTATAGGAATCCCATGCCAATTTGCTGCTGTGTGCAAGAATTTCATTAATGTCCACAGCAACAAAGAAACGGTAAATACACCCCAGAGAACTGAGGAGGTGCACATTTATGGAAATTATTAAGTGCAAGCAATGACCAAGTGGTTTCTTTTCTCTGTCTCTTCGTCTTTTTCCCATTTTCCTTTCAAACAGCTTGAATGCATTTCTTGTGCGTAGATATTTTTATGGGCATTTGCTGGAATGACAACAGCAAACACGCTGGCTACGAAGATATAATTACATCAAACTCTTTCTCAACAATAGTACAGATGGTAATGGAAACGGACTTATCTAGAGAGTTCCTTCTACGTGTAACCTCGTTCAACCCACTATATAATTGTCGCCTCATCGTCTTACTGGGTTCTAAAGTTCAAAGGATAAACGATTAGGCTTCAAAGGTGTCAAACCGCAAGACATTCCCCGACCAGAAAACCTTGGATAGGGGTTTTACCCTTTAAAACGAACTACTAAGTATTCAGGCACAGCTGACCTATGAAACCCTAGTACGAATTGAGCACAGAAACCGTACATATGTACATATAACCCCATTTGGCCTTGGTTATTGCATCTTTGATTCTGCGGATCTCTCAATTGATCTTAATTAATGTTCATTTTAATTCGTACGCCTCTCTTTTTATGGTCTGATCTTTGTAATGCAGTAAAAATAAGTATACGATATACTAAAATTTTAAGATGTTTCCGTTCGCATTCCTTTGATTTTCCAAATGAGGCAATCGCTTGGGTGTTGAGGACATTTACATGCATTATTGAAATATTTTGACGCTTCGTATAATTGACAGAGGGCACGTAATCCTTTCCATTAATAGCGACAGGTGTCTGAGGTCCTTTAATTGATCTGCCACCTTGAATGCAAACCACATCAAAGGGGAAGCCCTTAACCGCAAGATATTCCTAGTATCAGAGCTCTATAAATGCCGCCTCAATCGACAATGGAGCACTCAGAACACTTTCGAAATGGAATCCGTGCAACGCAGCTACGAAGACTTCCCCGCAATGCCCAGCGCCGTTTTTCGACTCATGGGCTACAATGTGTTGGACGCACCGGACGAGACGCGTTCGCGGAGGCTGGTAATGTGGATCTACCGCTGGCTGTGCACCTGCAGCCACGCCGTCTGCGTGGGATTTATGATTTTCCGCATTTTTGAGGTCAAAACCATAGACAGCATCCCGCTGATCATGCGCTACGTCACTTTGGTCACCTATGTCATCAATTCGGACACCAAGCACGCCACCGCCATGCAGCGAGAATCGATTCGAAATCTTAATAAGAAACTGGCCGACTTGTATCCGAAAACTACCAAGGATAGAGAATATTATAGGGTGAATGAACACTACTGGTCGCGATCATTTCTGGCCATGATTTTCATCTACATTGGGTCCTCCATTATGGTCGTCATTGGTCCCATTCTACAGTCGATTTTCGCCTATTTCACACGGCACCAGTTTACATATGAACATTGCTATCCATATTTCATATACGATCCCAATCGACACCCGGTCTGGGTCTATATCATCATCTATGCCACGGAGTGGCTTCACAGCACCCACATGGTGATCTCCAACGTGGCCACAGACCTCTGGCTGCTGTGCTTTCAGGTGCAGATCTGCATGCACTTTAGCTGCATGACTCGGTCCCTGGAGGAGTACCAACCCGATCGGACGCACGACGTAGATGATAATCGCTTCCTGGCGCAGATGGTGAACAAGCACGAATACCTAGTTATGTGAGTGACAAAAAGCATTAATGAGATGTCGACATTATTTTGCTATATCAGCCTTCAGAACGATCTCAACGGTATCTTCGGTGGGTCGCTGTTGTTAAGCCTCATTACTACTTCGGCAGTTATCTGCACGGTTTCGGTGTATTCGCTTATACAGGGCCTAACCTTGGAGGGGATTACATATGTGTTTTTCATCGGCACTTCAGTCATGCAGCTGTTCTTGGTTTGTAATCACGGCCAGCAGCTTCTCGATTTGGTATGTCGTGCCATCGATCCGGGTTCCAACTGATGGGCTGTTTTCTTCCTTAGAGCGAAGACATTGGCCACGCCGCCTATAACCACAACTGGCACAAAGCCTCGATTGCCTACAAGAAGTATCTGCTAATTATCATTATCCGCGCCCAAAAGCCAGTCGAACTCAGCGCCATGGGGTATTTGCCGATCTCGCGGGACACCTTCAAGCAGGCAAGTAGAGTCCGTAGTTTTAGAGAGCATTGCTTAATCCGAGTTCCCTGTCCGATTCAGCTGATGAGCGTGACTTACCGGGGTCTCGCCATGATACGTCAAATGATCGAATAGAAGGAATGAACGCACACATTATTCGAACATTAATCAGCTTTAATCGCACTACACACTATAGAAATCTAGTCACTAGCATCACTTGGGATCCGTGGGCAACTTGAAGCCGACCACATCGGCTGTTTCCTTCACGGACCGCTCTCCACGTCCATGGTACTCCTTGTACAGCTCGTTATAGTTGCGCAGACTACTCAAGTAGGTGAGATATGTTTGGCCTAAGAAGACTGCCTCGTTGCGGGCCTTGCACAGCTGCTGGTCGGTTGTCTCATACTTTTTGTACTGCGCCAGTATGTAGCGTGCGGCCAAGGATTCCTTAATGCAGCCACTTGGCGACGCCTGGCGGAGCTCGTGCAGCAGAGAGCGCAGAACTTTGGTGGCCGACATCCTGCGCCAAGGGTAAAAAACTTAATTTATTGAAAACAAATTAGAGAGCGCCTTCTTACGTGATTGTGATGATTATCGAAAATTGTGCAGAGTTATCAGAGCCGAACAGCTGTTGGCGACAGAGTTGCCACCGCCTCGCCTTATTTGTGTCGATATTCATCAGTTGCAAAATAAAAACCGCATAAATCCGTTTTGGAAAAACAATTTATTTATAAATTTCTTATTTAGCAGTTAACTGAACTCCGAAGTCCTATGTCCGCGATGCGTCTACTTCCTGGGCTTGCCAGCCGCAGGCTTCTGTCCGGGCTTCTTGCCGGCAGCTCCCTTAGCGCCAGCGGCTCCCTTGGGGCCCGTGGATTTCGCACCGGCCTTGCCGGCTCCTGGCTTCGTGGGCTTGCCAGTGGGCTTCTTCTTCTGCTCAACCTTGGGGGCCTTGACCGGCTTCACCAATGCCTCGCGCTGGCTCTTCAGGGCCTTGACGATCTTCTGCTCCTCGATGAGGAAGGCACGAACGATGCGCTCGCGCAGGCAGCCGTGGCACAGAACACCTCCGTAAGTGCGGGCGACGGTCTTCAGGCGCTTGGACATGCGTGGGCGCTCGCTGGGGCGGGAAGGGGTGATGCCCTTAAGCTTCTCCTTGCATTGGCCGCAACGGGGCACAGTCTTGTTCTTCTTGACATACTGGTACACCAGGCGACCGCCAGGAGTGCGCACACTGAAAGCCAAAACAGGGAACATTAGAATGCACCTTTAACTTGCTTTAAAATGTTATAGTTACATGCGCCTCTTGTTGGAGCGTGTGTTGTACGACAGGCGTCTTCTTAGCGTCAGACGTTGGACCATGTTGTTTTTGTTGCTGCTGCAGGCCAGGAGATTGCGTGGAAAGTGTATGCAAAAGCAGAGAAATTCATTATTAGTTTGTTGAGTCACTATTTGGGGTGCATGTGCAACAAGTGTATGTTAAATATTTTCTGCAGCTATAGCCAATTTGCGAATATTCCCCAAAAATTATTTTTAAAACACGTGCGTACCCTTCTAGACAGGAAAAGAAAGAAAGATGGCAGCGGACTTATCGAATATACCGTCCGACCCTCAGAAATATACCAAAATATACCGGCTCATCTTAAAAGTATACCGTAAATATACTGAAGAATTCAAGTTCTTTTATACATATTCCTCGTTTTTGATATTCCGTGCAATATAACTAGGTAAATAAAACCCTCAGCCCTGCCCACATAATTTTATCCGATTAATGAATCAATATTCTACTTGACTGGCTTATTTTAAATACTTGCTTTTATTGGATTTAGTCTAAAAAGAGGTTTTAGCAAAAAAGGTCAAACAAATACTATTGCTCAATTTTGATATTCCGTGGAATAATTCTGGCTAAAATCCACATAATTTTTGATGATTTATCGGTTATTTATTTATCGTTATCTATCGTACTTTGCAGCTCTGCCTGACCTGTGATTTTCGATAGAAAGCAACAGCTGGTCGTCGATTCCTTATCAAACCGCAGCAGATAAGAATTTCTATATATGTATATATATAGCATATAGTCAACATGAGCAAAGTAAGCAACAGTAAGTAGATATCGTACTGAAACTCACTTATAATAAAACCATAAACTGTGCTGTAGTCATGCGTCTTGCGCTGCTGCAACTCAAGGGCTCCAAGGACAAAACGGTCAATGTGCAAAATGCTGTTAGCAAAATAGAAGCCGCCGTCAGGGAGCACCAGCCCCGTCTGATCACGCTTCCCGAGTGCTTTAACGCTCCGTACGGCACCAAATACTTCCGCGAATACTCCGAGACCATACCAGATGGCTATACCTCGCAGCAGCTTTCGAATCTCGCCAAGAAACATCAGGTGTACATTGTGGGTGGAACCATTCCAGAGCTCGGCGAGAACGATGCCATCTACAATACGTGTACGGTGTGGTCGCCCAGCGGCGATCTGATAGCCAAGCATCGGAAGATGCATCTATTCGACATCGATGTGAAGGGCGGCATTCGCTTCAAGGAATCGGAGACACTCTCGGCGGGCAATGACTTTACCACCATCGATGTGGATGGACACAAGATTGGCATTGGCATCTGCTATGACATTCGCTTCGAGGAGATGGCGCGTCTCTATCGGAACGAGGGCTGTGAGATGATCATCTATCCGGCCGCCTTCAATATGACCACAGGACCCTTGCACTGGGAGCTGCTTCAACGTTCCCGGGCCAATGATAATCAACTCTTTGTGGTAACCACATCGCCGGCTAGAGATCCCAGCGCTGAATATGTGGCCTATGGCCATTCGATGATTGTTGACCCCTGGGCCAAGGTCCAGAAGAGTGCCAGCGATGGGGAGGAGACTGTGGTGGCCGACATTGACTTCTCGCTGGTGGAGCAAGTGCGTCAGCAGATTCCCGTCTTCAGCCAACGCCGCCTGGATCTGTACGCCACCGCAAGAAATGGCCAGTAATTTTAATGATTGTTGATTGTATTGTATATAAAATTGAATATAACTAAACAGATTTCACATTATTTTCTTACGATTCACTAACATATTATTGCTTTAAGTCCAACTGAGGACTGTCGGTAGGAGCCTCCGCAGAAACTGATTGCACATAGTGGGGTCGCTGTGCTTGGTCGAACAGGGCGCGTATGGCCTCGTCTGTAGCCATCAGGGGCTGACTAATGAACTCCAGAGCCTAAAGGAACATTAAAGACGATTATTAACATTAGTTCTGTATAAACAAAACGAATACGCACCCGAACTGCATACTTTTCCGCCTCACAGAGCGGACTCGTGCTGGCGCTGGACAGCTTGAGAGTCTCCTCCGGAATGCCCACTCCCGTGTGGAGCACCATTCGCTGTAGTATGTTCAGATTCTCGGCACTCAAGCTAATCACATCGGTGGCGGGCAGATTGAGGTAACGAATTTTGGCCAAAAACTTTAGTTGCTTCAGCATATCCAGCTGGATCTCGCGTATCTGGTGCGTGGCATGCAGCAATTGCTTGGTGGACTCGTTCAGCATCTGGTTTTTCTGCGTGAGATCGGCCTTCCAACGTGCCAGCTCCTCGACCATGACACTGCTCGCCAGGAACTTGGATCTCCACACCTCGCATTGTCCCGCAAGAAACTCAATTTGTTCGGTATGCGTCGTCAGATTGTTGGCAGTATCCAGCAGGGCTCGAGCCAGCTGCAACTTGTCTTCGGTCAGCAGATTGACGCGAGTCTGCAGATCCTCACCCACTGACGCCACCAGCAGGTTCTTTAGCTCGCTATTGACCTGCGTTTGAAATTTGTATTGGGCCTGGAAGTAGTCACGTTCCTCCCTCATTTTCGAGAGCTGCTCCTTCAGGATATCCAACTTGCCGTTGCTACCATCTTTATTGTCGCTCTCCTTGGGTTCAGGGTCCAGTTCTTGGGTGCGCAGTGTGGACACTTGATCCACGAGTACACCGATGTCAAGGTTATTTTTGTCGCGATGAATTTTATGTTTGGTCGATGGTGCAGCAGTCATGGGATTTACAGCTCCTGGATATGGCTCAAAGGGAACGAATTTTGGAGGTTTAGTCTTTTTGTGTTCCGGCAGTGGTTCGTGATGCGGTTGCACAAGCCGCGGCTTCAGCTGCACCAGCTCTCCCTTGGGCAGGGCCGGGGCCAGGCTTCGGGTAACAACTTCGGGGCGTCTGTAGAGCGTATGGAGGCCCGGCAGCGGTAGATGGGAGGCATGGCCACTGCTTGAGGATGTTCTCCTTGTAATCGCCGCCTCCTGGATAACTGTGCTGTCTTTCCGTGATAGTTGCGGTCGCTTGACCACATCAGAACTTGTTCCATCGGTTTGTTGTTCCATCCCATCGCCGCTGGTGCGGCAGTCCTGGGTCTTGTCAACATTGACATCTGTGTGGTCATTCATTTATTGACGATTTTGGCAGTGCCACCTCCCTGTATTATATAGAATATTTATCTTCTGGTTTTTGCCAGCAAAACAAAATCGAACAATAACAATGGCAGAGTTGTAGAGCTGAAGACACATCGATGTCATCGATGTTTTGTTGGGCACTGCAGACATCGTAGTACCATGTAAAAACCATCGTAGTTACCATGTAAAAAACTTTTGTGTATTTTGTGTACCCTGGTGTTTCCCTTTTTTGTTCAAACAACATTTTATAACCAATAAAATAAAATAGATTACTTAAAATAGGCATATCTTGTAGAAAATGGATCAATTAATTAGTTAAAATAATTTGTGCTGAATTGTGGGGCCTAGCTAGCTTGTAATACTAAGCCGAATATCAAAATGGAGGAATATCATTTCCGATCATGAACAAATTAACCCATTTTGGACCAGTGCTTAAAAAGAGTGTTTTTTATGGTGGGTGAAGTGGGCTAAGAGGAACTTATTCAATTCGTTCATGAACGGCCCCACTGATTTAAACAAAAACAAATAAATAAAGTAAAATAAAAAAGCATATCGAACGGCTGCTCTGTGTGCCATAGTGTCTTAGCTGGAGTACCAAGTGCCAGCGATTGGGTATCACATCCATCCGCTAGCATGTCCGAAGTGGAGTCTGAGCTGCTTAGAAAAGTGAATGAGAAAATCGATCTGATTGAGCCCACAACCGGAAAACTGTTTTTCGAGCACAAAACAGAGCTGGTTTTCTGTAGGCCGCACCTGATGCCGCTAAAGACGCAGGCGCTGGAACGGCTAGAGGAAATGCATCGCGAAACTGCGCGTCAGCTGCAAAAGAAGCGAAACAATAAGAAAATCACCGAGCCCCACAAGGAATAGGCCGTCAATCAAGTGGCCCGAAATGAATTAGTTATTACACTTAGCCAGTAATCACAGCACACAAACACACACCACACACTCACAAAAAGCACAAATTGGTTGTTGATACTTTTACCATGGCCTATCTACTGACATTCGGCATCATCGCGGCCCTCTGCTTGGCCAGCATCTCGCTGTACCGCTATGGCAACATACCACGTCAGCACATCCTGGTCACCCTGTCCGTGCTGACAGCCTGGTGTTTCTCGTTTCTGATTGTCTTCACCATTCCGCTGGACGTGACTTCGGTGAGTATAGAATGGCATATTGGCATATGGTTCCATATGGTTGATTAAAACTCCAATTACAGACGCTTTACAGGCAATGCCTGGCGGAACATAAGCTGGCACTGGACGCAGCAGGTAATGCTAGCACAACGGCCAATATAACCCCGCCGCCCGAATGCCAGGAACCGTGGGGAATGGTGCCCGAGTCGGTGTTCCCCAACTTGTGGCGCATCATCTACTGGAGTTCGCAGTTCCTCACCTGGTTGATTATGCCATTGATGCAATCGTACCTCAAGGCCGGCGATTTTACGATCAAAGGCAAACTAAAGTCGGCGCTCATCGAGAATGCCATCTATTATGGCTCATATCTATTCATCTGTGGCGTCCTGCTCATCTACATTGCCGTCAAGGGCGTGCCCCTGGACTGGCAGAAGCTAAAGGCAATCGCCTCGTCGGCTTCGAATACCTGGGGTCTGTTCCTGCTAATCCTGTTGCTGGGCTACGCCCTGGTAGAGGTGCCACGCTCGCTGTGGAACAACGCCAAGCCGGGATTCACTTTGCAATACGCCTACTTCAAGGCAGCCAAACTCAGCACGGACAAAGCGGAGGCCGAGGAGCATGTCGATGATATACTAGAGTCGCTGCAGTGCATCAGCCGGGTGGTGCCCAACAACCATGAGCTGCGGCCCTGCGTGGAGACCATCATGCGGAAAGTTCCAATTGAGCTTCAGGAGCGGGCCAGCCGCAATTTCTCACGCACTGGAGGCAGCGGCATGGGAGCGACTAGCTCCACTATTTTACCCTCGGAAAAGGCCCTGGTTCGCATCCACAAGCAAGTGATCAAATCCCTGCAGACGCTGCAACGCACTGAGGCGCTGTGGAGTGTGCAGGTAGACACAGTGCTGCATCTGGAGGATGTGGCAAGGAATATACATTCCGCCGAGCGACGCTTCAAATCGGAATTCCCGCGACAACGCACACAGCTGGAGAGGATCTTCTACAGCGCCACATTGCAGTGGTATTGGGAGTGTCTACTGAAGGCGCCGTTCCTGAAGACTCTCTGTGTGGTCACTGCCACCATGTCCGCTATGGTGGTGTGGAGTGAAGTGACCTTCTTCAGCCGCGATCCCGTGCTCTCCATATTCGCCAATGTGATTTATTTGGCCAAGGAAAGCTACGACTTCTTTACCATTGAAGTATTCTCCATGATGGTTCTGTGCTACTTCTTCTACTGCACCTACTCCACTATTCTGCGCATTCGCTTTCTGAATCTGTACTACCTGGCGCCCCACCATCAGACCAACGAGCACAGCCTGATCTTTAGTGGCATGCTCCTGTGTCGCCTTACGCCGCCAATGTGTCTTAATTTTCTGGGTCTAATACACATGGATTCGCACATTATACCAGAGGTGAGTGTAGATATCGATTGATATGCCTTAAACCTTATTATTGAACTATTTTTCGAACCAGCGAATGATGGAAACTTATTACACTCGAATCATGGGACACATGGACGTCATTGGCATCATCTCGAACGGCTTCAACATTTACTTTCCCATGTGCATGCTGGCCTTCTGTCTGTCTACGTGGTTCAGCCTGGGCAGTCGCGCCTTGAACGCCTTGGGCTTTCAGCAGTTCCTCCAAAATGAAACTATTGCCACGGAGTTGGTGCAGGAGGGCAAGGATCTAATCGCCCGCGAGAAGCGGAGGCGACAGCGCGCCGAGGAGGCCATGGCTAGGCGGCGTGACTTCAATCGGCCCGATCCGACCGTCGCAAGCAATGACTACATGAACAAGTACCGCTCAGGTGCTGGAGCCCTGGCCGGCAGTCGCACCCCAGCCGATGGACTACTCCGCGACGGCGACGGCAGCTTTGACTATGCTGCGGTGGCCTCATCCTCAGCACTAGGCGTGCCCCGTTCCCTGTCGGAGGAGATTAACGACCGGTTTGGCGTGAGCACCCAAATGCAGGTGGGATTCAGGGGCACCAGTGAACTCGACCCGGACTATGAGGCGGAAAATGAACGACGCATTGTGGGGCCCCCGCCACGCGGTCTCTTCGATGATGTTTAGACAAGCAATGGCTTAATTTATTTTAATGTATCTCAATGTCTGCAATGTTCCATAAATAGTTTCGTTGACGCTTAAGTATTTTCTGCTGCTGCTGTTCCTCTCACAGGCACGGCACTGCGCACCATGCACGCCATTTAATAAAAGGAAGGCTACAAACAAAATATATTGCTTTAAATCCGTTGATTGTTGTGCGAAGGCTCACCTATACTTTTCTTGATGGACTTCTTATTGTAGTCGCTTTCCTTTGACGTTCGTTGCCAAATCTTTCTGTTTCATGTCCGAGTCCTTTATTTTCGGTTGTAGCCCCGATATGGGATGCGGATGGATACGCTTGCGACCCCGTAAAAAAGCACAACGTGAGGTCTGAGGCGTGTCAAGAGTCATCAATCCTAGAGAATACATTTTTATAACCCTACTTTTGCACATGGATGCTTTGCAAATTATAGGTCCAGCAAGGCATTGCCACCCAGAAAAAAACATCTGACAGTTCTAGAGCATAACCTCCAAACAGATTTATTACCGTTACATGTGTATGTATGCATGTATTAGTGTGGGAGCAGGTATCTAGCAATTGCAACAAAAAATAAAAGAGAGGAATGTCTTTGGGCTTGAGTAGGTGCAGGGTGTAGGTGTAAGGTTTGTGTGTGGTTTTGCGTGTGTTTGTGTGATCTAACCAGAAGGGCACTTTTGCGTAATATCAGCCAACGCATCTCCAACTGAAGATATGTGCAACAACATCAGTAAGGTGGAAGTGGTGGCCCCAAAATCCCAGTTTTGGCACAGACACGAACAGTGTGAGATTTGAATGAGAATCGATTGATATGATCTTTGCGAGTGTTGTGGCGGTGGGTGTAAAGTGTGTGAGTGTTGGCGGTGGGTGTAAAGTGTGTGAGTGTTGGCGGTGGGTGTAAAGTGTGTGAGTGTTGGCGGTGGGTGTAAAGTGTGTGAGTGTTGGCGGTGGGTGTAAGGTGTGTGATTGGTGGCGGTGGGTGTAAGGTGTGCTATTGAGGCCGACTACTCATCGCCGCCACCCTCCTCGTCCTCGTCGAACTCGCCCTCTTCGTCGGCAGTGGCCTCCTGGTACTGCTGATACTCCGACACCAGATCGTTCATGTTGCTCTCCGCCTCGGTGAACTCCATCTCGTCCATGCCCTCGCCAGTGTACCAATGCAAGAAGGCCTTGCGCCGGAACATCGCCGTAAACTGCTCGGAGACGCGCTTGAACAGCTCCTGGATGGCCGTTGAGTTGCCAATGAATGTGGCCGACATTTTGAGACCGCGAGGCGGTATATCGCACACGGCCGTCTTGCAGTTGTTGGGTATCCACTCGACGAAGAAGCTGCTGTTCTTGTTCTGGATGTTCAGCATCTGCTCGTCCACCTCCTTCATGGACATGCGCCCGCGGAAGATGGCGGCCACTGTCAGGTAGCGACCGTGACGCGGATCGCAGGCAGCCATCATGTTCTTGGCGTCGAACATCTGCTGCGTCAGCTCTGGCACGGTGAGGGCACGGTACTGCTGGGATCCGCGGGATGTCAGCGGCGCAAAGCCCGGCATGAAGAAGTGCAGCCGGGGGAAGGGCACCATGTTCACGGCCAGCTTGCGCAGATCGGCATTCAACTGGCCCGGGAAGCGCAGGCAGGTGGTCACCCCGGACATGGTTGCCGACACCAAGTGATTCAGATCTCCGTAGGTGGGCGTGGTCAGCTTCAAGGTGCGAAAGCAGATGTCGTACAGCGCCTCGTTGTCGATGCAGTACGTCTCATCGGTGTTCTCCACCAGCTGATGCACACTCAAGGTGGCATTGTAGGGCTCCACCACCGTGTCCGACACTTTGGGCGATGGCACCACCGAGAAGGTGTTCATGATTCGGTCGGGGTACTCCTCGCGGATCTTGGAGATCAGCAGGGTGCCCATGCCCGAGCCGGTGCCTCCGCCGAGCGAGTGAGTCAGCTGGAAGCCCTGCAGGAGAAGGGGTTTTATCCTGATTCACGCTGCGTGGGGGTACTCACTTACCTGCAGACAATCACAGCCCTCCGACTCCTTTCGCACCACATCCAGCACAGAGTCCACCAGCTCGGCTCCTTCCGTGTAGTGTCCCTTGGCCCAGTTGTTTCCCGCCCCCGACTGCCCAAAGACAAAGTTGTCGGGCCGGAAGATTTGACCAAAAGCCCCGGAGCGCACCGAATCCATGGTGCCGGGCTCCAGGTCGACAAGAATGGCGCGTGGTACATACTTCGCTCCTGTCGCCTCGTTGTAGTACACATTTATTCGCTCTAATTGCAAATCACTGTCGCCGTAGTACGTGCCGGTGGCATCTATACAGTGCTCGTCAGATATTACCTCCCAAAACTTTCCCCCTATTTGGTTGCCGCACTGGCCCGCCTGAATGTGAACAATCTCGCGCATTTCAGTCTTGAATTTTGTAAAATAATTAACAAATTACTGACAGCCCAAAAAAAAAAAAAAAAACAAAAATAAAAAATTTAGTTTTGGAAAAAATTCTGAAAAAGGAGCAACTTATCGGAATACGGCCGACGAACGAATGAATTTTTTAAGTTAAACTGATATACGTGTTGTCACTAAATCAAACGAACTTGGAATGAGAACAAAATCCAGGGGGGGAGCCCAGAAGATGGACTGCTCGACTACTTTGTTCCGAATTTTGTTTCCATTTGTTGGCTAAAGGATTTCGAGTAATTCGTTTTAATAATACTTTGATTTCACAGTTAAAATTTGTATGTTTTTGAGATGTATGAAATGTGAGGGTGGTCGCCAAAAGAGGCGACATCCTCCCTCGTAGGTGATGAGGTTGATATTGCCATGATTTGTCGGAAGTTACTCCATTGTATATGTGTGTATATGCTGGTTGTACAACGATTAGATGCGGCGGTTGGGTCTCTACATGATTGCAACTACGTTTTGGCGTCCCCTCGTTGGGGATTTGGGCTTCCTTTTGGCATTGGCTCCGACTCCAAGCCGTTCTTTGGCTCCAAACCGAGCTTTGGCTCCTATTTCAAGTAGACGTCTGTCACAAGTGACAGGCGGCTGTCTCAAATGGATGCGCGATGCAGGCACTGTGTGCTTTGTATAATGTCCGTGGGCTGAAAGTCCGGGTCGATAAACTGCTCGTGGTTCAGGCAGCGCGTTCCGCCCATGCAGGTGCAGGAGCAGAGCGAGGCTGTCTCATCGTTCTCGGTTGTATAGTTGTGCTCCAACAGTTTGCCGTTCATGTTGTAAGTGGTCTCATCGTCGAAGGTAACTGGCTGCGCGTTGCCCGCCAGGTTCTGAGCATCCTGTTCATCCCGTTTGGCATCTTCCGCTTGCCTGAAATGAACAGAAGATTAATGGTGTGTAATTCAACATATACCACACGATTTACATGGTCATGAAACGCAAGACGAGCAGATTAATGCTGGCTGCCACCACGGCCAGGCCGAAGAGGATGAACACCAAGCTCAAGGCAACATATCCCGGTTTGTTGGTCAGAGCCTGATCGTTCTGCAGTGCCACATAGTCGCCAAATCCGATCGTGGTCAAGGTCACAAAGCAATAGTAGAAACTATCGAAGTAGCTCCAGCCTTCGTATCGCGAGAACACAGCTGCTCCCGTGGTAATGATGGCAGACGAGAGCATTCCGGTGGCCAGCATAAGATTCATCTCGGTGGCTTCCGTACATCGGGCCCCACTTGCCCGCTTGGCCCGTCGTATGATGACCGATGCGAACTTATTCAGACGTTCACCAATCGACTGGAACATGACCAGTCCCAAAGGAATGCCCACCTGCCAAAGGAAAGCTGGATGAATGGCGGAAAAGCAAAGATACGGCTCTGACGTCTCACCATCGCGTATCCCATGCAAAATGCCTTTCCCGGAATGGTGACTGGCGTAGAATGACCGTATCCTAGGGGAAGCCAAAACTAATACTGATACTGGGATTAACTTCAGATAACCACCGACTCACCTATCATGGCCAAGACAACGGTGCTGAAGTAGAAGGCGCCTGCGAACTTCCATTGAGGTCCTGCCTTGTGCGGCTTGTTCTCAATGATGACAATCTCCATCACTCGAAAGTCCTCGTCGCTTACATTGTACTTTTTCACAAAATTGTTCTTTACGGCTGGAACATATAGGTGTATCAGTATGGGAAGTGTATGGTTGGGGGGAGGGTCAATAAATACCCTGTAAGAACTCCCAGCGCTTCGCCTCCGTTGGCGATTCCAGCGAATCGAAAACGGCGGCTCCAATCAACAAGTACGTGAAGGTGCACACCACCAGCGACAAGGTTCTCACATTCTGACGCTTCATGATGCAGTCAGGAATAAACTCAAAGGCCGAATCGCGGTACAATTCAATTAGCATTAATATTTCGTCCGCTGGTTTCTTCGCCGATGAGAGTTCAGCTGCACAAAATCGATAGATGCCAAGCAAAAACAAATACACAGCATCCAGAAATTTGTTGCGCGCGCCTCGATCGGCAGTACTAAGTCTAGGGTTGTGGTTACGATTTTTCGAATATTTATTTGAAATAACAACTTTAACCGAAAACTTCAGCCCACGAAGGGCAATATTTATCTGAATTTAATACCGTTATTGCGAGAACAATAATTGTCTAGTGATGGCAGTGACTCAGGCTGACTATCGGAGATAGCCGATAACAGTTCTCTGCGTGACACTGTGGCAGCTCCCAGCCATTCTGTCCACCTCTAATTATTTGTTTATGCGAAAAATCCACGCAAGTCTACAATTGGAAATTTGTTGTTGCAGTAGGCTTGTTGTCTGACGTGCAACCATTTCCATGATACATTAGCAAAGAAATGCTGCGCATACGTCGTCGCTTTGCGCTCCTAATTTGCGCGGGCATCCTGCTCGTCTTCCTCAGTCTCTATGTGGTTCTCAACTTTGCGGCGCCGGCAGCCAGCCAGAAAAAGGTAGGACTAATTGGTCTCGCATTGAGCGGAAATAAACAATTATTCGCTTTATTCAGCCGAACTATTCGTCTATTGAGGACAAACTACAGATGTTAGAGAATGGGTTGCAAGAGCATGACGTGGAAATGCGCCATCTTCGCGCCCGGGTGGCCAAGGAGGATGGTGTCAAAACAGAGCGCTTGGCGGTGAAGGTGGGTCCACGCAAGGAGTCAGGTTGCGTGGATCTGGTGCAGCAGGTGCCAGAGGTGGATGTACAGATGTTGGAGCTCTACGACAAGATGACCTTTAAGGACATTGATGGCGGCGTGTGGAAACAGGGCTGGAACATCAAGTACGATCCCTTGAAGTACAACATGCACCACAAGCTGAAGGTGTTCGTTGTGCCCCACTCGCACAACGATCCTGGCTGGCTGGAGACGTTCGAGGAATACTATCAGCACGACACCAAGCACATTCTGTCTAATGCGCTGCGGCACCTCCACGAGAATCCTGACATGAAGTTCATTTGGGCTGAAATCTCGTACTTTGCGCGCTTCTATCAGGATCTGGGGGAGCACAAGAAGCTACAAATGAAAGCGTAAGCACGAATCAATTTATAACCAAAGAATTTGCTTATCCTCCCTAACTCCTTGCAGAATCGTGAAGGGCGGACAGCTGGAGTTTGTCACTGGCGGCTGGGTGATGCCCGATGAAGCCAACACGCATTGGCGGAATGTGCTGCTGCAGCTAACCGAAGGACAGACCTGGCTCAAGAATAATTTCAATGTAACCCCCACCGCCTCGTGGGCCATCGATCCTTTTGGCCACAGCCCAACAATGCCGTACATCCTGCAGAAGAGCGGATTCAAGAATCTCCTCATCCAAAGGACCCACTACTCGGTGAAGAAGGAGCTGGCCCAGCAGCGCCAGCTGGAGTTCCACTGGCGCCAGATATGGGACACGACCGGGGACACTGCTCTCTTCACGCACATGATGCCTTTCTATTCGTACGACATCCCCCACACCTGTGGACCCGATCCCAAGGTGTGCTGCCAGTTCGATTTTAAGCGAACGGGAGCCTTCGGGCTGAACTGTCCGTGGCGCGTACAGGCCAAGGCCATCGATGACAACAACGTGGCCGCCCGTTCCGAGCTCTTGGTGGATCAGTGGAAGAAAAAGGCCGAGCTGTATCGCACCAATGTGCTGCTGGTTCCCTTGGGAGACGACTTCCGGTTCAAGCAGAACACCGAGTGGGATGTGCAGCGTGTCAACTACGATAAGCTCTTCGAGCATATCAACAGCCAGTCACACTTCAATGTCCAGGCACAGTTTGGCACGCTCGAAGAGTACTTTAACACAGTGCACCAGGAGGCGCAGACCTTCCCCTCGCTCAGCGGCGACTTCTTCACCTATGCAGACCGAGCGGACAACTACTGGAGTGGCTACTATACGTCGCGGCCCTACCACAAGCGCATGGATCGAGTGCTAATGCACTATGTGCGGTCGGCGGAGATGCTCTCCGCCTGGAACGTGTGGCCGAACAGCACAGACTTTGAACGACAGCTGTCGAATGCACGTCGACAGCTGTCGCTGTTCCAACATCACGACGGCATCACCGGCACCGCCAAGAACCATGTGGTGCTGGATTATGAGAAGCGTATGGTGAAGGCGTTGAAGGGTTGCCAGTCTGTGATGCAGCAATCCATCTACCGCCTGCTCACCAAGCCCTCCATCTACAGTCCCGACTACAACTTTGTTTACTTCATGCTGGACGACTCCCGCTTGCCGGGCTCCGGAGTGGAGGACCTACGCACCACCATCATTCTCGGCGATCAGCTGCCCACCAAACATGTGGTGATGCACAACACTCTGCCCCACTGGCGGGAGCAATTGGTGGACTTTTTCGTCTCGAGTCCATTTGTCAGCGTCACCGACTCCACAAACAATCCAGTTGAGGCGCAAGTGACGCCCGTCTGGACCTGGCATCGCGATACTGTGACGAAAACCACTCACCCACAAGCCTCCACCACCAAGTATCGAATCGTCTTCAAGGCTCGGGTCCCGCCCATGGGACTGTCCACCTATTTGCTGACCGTTTCCGACAGCAAGCCAGAGTGAGTCCCCCCACAGACATACTTTTAGAATATTTCTCACATTTCCAACTCTCTTGCAGACACACTTCGTATGCCTCGAATCTGTTGTTGCGAACCAATCCACAGACTGTTCGCCTGGGCCTATATCCGGAGGATGTTAAATTCGGCGAGCATCGAGACATTTCGTTGCGCGTGGGCAATGGTCCCACGCTGGCCTTCTCCGAGTATGGCCTCCTTAAGTCTATGCAGCTGACGCCAGACAGCGAGCATGTGCCTGTCCATCTAAAGTTCCTCACGTACGGAACTCGCGAGCACGGAGATCGCTCTGGTGCTTATCTCTTTCTGCCCAACGGTCCGGCCACACCCTACCCGGAGCTCCATGACGTGGTGCTGGTCACCGAGGGGAAGCTGGAGTCGACAGTGACTGTGGGTCTGCCCAATGTGATCCATCAGACAATAATGCGTGGGGGGGCACCCGAGATACGTAATTTGGTGGATATCGGTGTGAAGGACAACACGGAGATCGTGATGCGGCTGCAGACGCACATCGACAGCACGAACGTATTCTACACGGATCTGAATGGACTGCAGCACATCAAACGACGGCGCCTGTGGAAGCTGCCACTGCAGGCGAACTACTATCCGGTGCCATCGGCCATGTTCATCGAAGATGCCAACATGCGACTTACTCTGCTCACAGGGCAACCGCTGGGCGGCTCATCGCTGGCCGCTGGAGAAATGGAAATCATGCAGGATCGCCGCCTGGCGAGGGACGATGAGCGCGGTCTGGGTCAGGGTGTGCTGGACAACAAACCGGTGCTGCATATCTTTCGTCTGGTGCTGGAGAAGATCGTTGGCTGTGGTCGGCCTTCAGAGGTCCATCCAGCGGGATACTTGACAAGCGCTGCCCACAAGGCTTCGCAGTCGCTGTTGGACCCCCTGGACAAGTTCATCTATATGGAGAATGAGTGGACCGGCGCCCAGGGGCAGTTTGGCAGCAGTCATATATCGGCCAACGAGGATCTGGACGTGACCGTGATGCGGCGTCTCACCAAGAACACGGCCAAGACGCAGCGCGTAGGCTTCGTGCTGCATCGTACGAATCTAATGCAGTGCGGCGGTGAAGAACAACAGACGGAGAAGGTAAAATACCTTTATCTTCAATTACTTCTTGTTTCCCATATAAAAGGCTTGTTCTTTGCAGTTTGATGTGTGCCACCTAATGCCGCACGCAGACCGCTGCGAGCGCACCACACTCACCTTTCTTCAGGTCCTGGAACATTTCGAGCCGCCTACGGCGCCACCTTTGTGTGCCATGGAGACGGAGGCCTATGTAACCAGTCATACCTCCAAATCGAGCTGATCTGCCAGGAATAGAATCGGGAAAGAGGAGCCGAATTTAAAAAGGAAATAGACAGGAACAAAGTACAGCAACACATGAATCTCTGACGCAACACGCAATCTCAGCTACGTCAAAAACTTAAGCACCAGGAGGACTCTCGCATTGCTTCAAATGTGCATAACTTATTTATTCATGCTTCCATCGGGGATTTTGGAAACATTTTACGTTGACGCACTGACTTCACAGCAGGGTTCGCCCCTCGTGTAATTTCATAATAATTTTTGCTTAATTTTATGTAGTTTTCTATGTTTTGTGATATCTCTAGAATCCTCCCTGTCCTTGCAATCCATGTATGTCTAAATCGGAAGAGTCGTATGTAACTATAACATAAAAATGTAGGATTAGTGATAATGAGGAAACTACGGCAATTGCAAGGCAAATCGAAGGCCCATCTGCGAATAAATTGAGTCTCATTTGTGTACACAAGAGTGTGTTTTTAGGCCCTTTAGCTTTCCACGTGATAATGCGGACTAGTTTCAAATATTATGGGGCATTGCATGCCGCCTCGTCTTATCAGTGTCATTAGTTGGGTTGGCTATCTACGGGGTATTGTTATGGCCTTTATGACCTATTGGGATTTCTGAGAGTCATCTAGGAAATGCGACGACGCTGGAGATGCTGCGATACGTGGTGTGCGATAGGGGGAGGGGTATCTGCTTGGAAAATGCACAATGGAAATTCAAATTGAATCCGAAATGAGCGTAAAGTGGTTGTTTTTACGCAGCCAGAGCGACTCTCCGCTGCGCAGTTGGCTCTCTTGGGACTCTCGCCCGCTCTCTCTCTCTTGGCCCGCTCTCTTCCAATTCGAAAGCAAAACCGAAATATACGCAATGGGATTGAGATACGATTGAGCGCATTGTGGCCTGCACACAGATACACAGGCGCCGCTCTCCGGCTCTCTCGGCTGTTTGGGTGTATGAGTGCACAACCACTGTGCACCATCGGAATTTTTCTGTACAGAAATCTCAGCAGCAAACGCTGCCTCAAGTTTTCAGCTCCTCAGTTTCAGTTTTCAGTTCAGTTGGATTCATAGACGAGTCGTCACAGCGTCCCAGCGTCGTCGTTTGTGAGTTTTATTTATATGTTTATGCCACAAAAGCCCACACCACACACAGATACACAGGCTGTGACTGTGTGTGCGTGTGTGT